TCTCCTCTCAGGTGGAGGTTGTTCCCACTGCTGTCCTCTCCTGCATTTCTACCTCTGTAAAGATTACGAGCTCTACGATAAACGTGCGCTCATGCTTCTCAGTTAACAATTAACTCAAATGCAGCATCAACAGTATTTTTTACCCTCGTAACAAAAAGGAATAAAGTGTTTTTTCTTTGCTTAATAATCACAGCTTTACTGTGTTATGATGTAAAATAAAACTAAAGTCTAAATACAAGCACGTCATTTCTTCATTGATGATGCTGAGCTTTTATACTCATTAGCAAAAACCTGAGAGAAATAAAAACACATAAGCCTGGAGCTTCAGTGGTTAAACAACATTTAGTATGTGTGAGTGTGATGAGCAGCTCTGACATGAACCATCACTCCTCCACGTCCAGCACTGTGGTGAAAGCTGTGGACTGTGTATCAGCTTCCTGTCACACACGAGGACTTCCTGTTAAGGTCAAAAGTTCCTCTATCAGCAGTTTGTGCATCGCGAGCCTCCACCCGAGGGTTTCAGATGGTGATGCTTCTGGGTACCGAACATAACACAGAGGATTGAATAAAGACGCTGACGTCCCACCTGTGCAGGCGTCCTTTGACTTTTTTCATTTACACAATTTTAATGACTTTGTGACTGTTTGTCTTGAAATTTCATCTCTTATGAGGTGATCGAGCTTGATTACACTTAATAAGAACATGTGAAGAGTGAAAGGATGGAGGAACAGAGCGAAGTGTCGCAGTCTGTTTACATGTTTAGGTATAACTATCGTGCCAATGACAGAATATGTTTCTATATGTTTAATGGATGAAATCACTTTATTAATAATAGATGACTGGAGCTGGTGCACGCCTGTTATACTGTTACAATCCCTGTTTACATGGATGAATATGGATATATTAATAATGTTATTTTATAATAAAAAAATAAAAAATCATGGCACAGTCTTGTGCTTGCTGCAAAAGATCAAATAAAATAAAATTCTGCACAGATAAATTTGAATTAAACCTTTTTTTTTCTACACTTGTTATATTTTTCACAGCTGGTACAAATTAGAATTACAGGCGACCGCTTCTGGCCCCCAGGCCATATGTTTGACACCATCATTTATACACAGGTGATGTTTCTACTCTGATATAAATGCTGCGTCCGGTTATTTATTGCTCTTCCTGTTGGAGCCCAGTCACTCTGACATGTGTGACTGTAGATGCTGGCTGTGTGTCGGCCAGCTGTCGCTGTCTCACAGCAGGACTCGGAGGATCCAAGTGATGCTGCTCCGCCTGCACTCTGCTGGTCTGTCTCTGCCCCTCCCCCTCCCATATGTCGCAGTGAAGCCTGTAGCTCCACCTACGTGACAGCAGCTACCAGCAGACCACACGTCATTCAGCCGAGTTACCGTCAATTTTTCAAACGGTTTCCTGCACGAATCGAAACATCTTTGTATTTACTGATTAATGTATTAACTGAATTAATTATGTTTTTTCCCATAAGTAATAATTTCCCATAAATAATTCCCAGAGTGAGTCAGCGGTGTTTATCATATTTATTATCATCACTATGACTACGAGTCCTTACAAACGTTATTGGACAGCTGAAAGCAGCATGGCTGTAGTGCTCATTATTTTAATGATAACATAATTATAATAATTATTAATATTAAATATTAATAACCAGATGAACACTGACCCTGTTGGCATCCGTGTTGTCCAGAATAAACAGCACAGAGAGGACAGACGGCTGTGTCTCCTCTAATACCCGCACTGGTCACCTGTTTCTGGCCTC